TTCTTTCTTTCTTTCTTTCTTTCTTTCTTTCTTTTTTCTTTCTCTTTCGTCCTTCCTTTCTTCCCATTTCTTCCCGTTTCTTCCTTTTTCTTCCTTCCTTCCTTTCTTTCTCTGCCCAACCCCCACCCCCTGTAAAATGGTACTAGACTTTTATTTTTGGAGAGGAACCACATAATCAATTAAGATATCACAGGTACCTAGAAATCTTACAAAATTTGAGGTGTTGGATTTAAATTATTCTTTGTATCAGTTCCAGAATTCAATGTTTTGTTTTTACTTCCGTGCAACTAAGGATCATGTGTGTTCTCTTTCTTTTTGAGAAGACCTCACAAGATGGGAGTTTCTTTGCCTTTCAGAGTTTTGCTTTGCAAAAGAGTGGGAGTAAACACTTTTTTTGCTTGGAATGCCAAAGGAATACTGATTTTGCTTTTATGGGGCAACTTTCCCACTCAAAAGTGACAGGAAGCAATGCCACCCTTTTTTTAGCAGCTACAGCCAGCGGTGATTCTAAGAGTTACAAGGAACATTTTGGCAGCTTTTTATAGTCCTTCATCTTCTACCCCTAGTCCATGCTCAGTTCATTTTGCTAGAGGCAGGTATTCACGTCTGCATCTGAACGATGGGCTGGAAGTTTGGTATCCGTTAGTTTTATCTCTTCATTCAGTGGTGCACCTTCTTTGCATCCATTTTCAGCTTTCTCGGCCTCTTGTTTTCTAAGGTTTTTCTTCACAAGCATGTAAAAGATGAAACCCAGCAGAAAAGATGGCACTTTCAAGGCACTTATTAGACCGTAGAAGGAATACCTGAATAAGTAAAAAAAAAAAAACTTCTCGTAAGTCAATTGTGAATCTTTGTGGCTACCTGAACTAGTCCTTCCCTGCAATTTTCTCAGCCAGGCTTTTCAGAAGTGCTTTGCCCTTATCACCTTCTTCCTAGAGCCGAGAGAGAATGACTGATTCAAAGTCACCCAGATGGCTTCAAGACGAAGCAGGGGTGGGCTGCTACCGGTTCGCACTGGTTCGAGTGAACTGGGTGTTAATTTTACATCTGGTTCACCGAACTGTTAGTTGGAATGACTGGCTGGCCCGACCCTCCCAGGAGTCTCCATGAGGCCCAATTTGGATCCCAGGTAAGTGCAGGGCCTGCGCAGAGGCTTGGGGAGGGTGAAAAATGAGCCTCCCAGAGGCTCTGGAAGGCCAGAAATGGGCCCATTTCTGGTCTCTGGAGAGCCTCTGGAGCCCTGGGAGGTGGGAAACTGGCCTCCTGGAGGCTTGAGGGAATCCTCTGAAGCCCAAGGAGGGCAAAAAATGGGCCTCCTGGAAGTTCTAGAAGGCCAGAAATGGGCCCGCAGAGCCTCCGGAGCCCAGGGAGGCTGTTTTCATCCTCTCAGGCTCAAGGAAAACCTCCAGAGCCTGAGGAAGGCAAAAATGCCTTCCCCCCCCCCCTCACTGTGGTTCAGGAGACCAACTATGCCATGCCGACCATGGCCACATCCACCCAGCAACTGGGCAGAGAACCGGTTGCTAAATTTTTTGAAGAAGCCCACCCCTGAGTCTAAGGCAAGACTAGAACTCACAACCTCCCCGTTTCTAGCCTGATGCCTGAACCACTGCACCAAACTGATTCTCAGAATAAACCCTGGCAACTGTAACTTAGTGGATTACATGGGTAGTCTGCATTCATTTAGTGACTTGTTAAGATTCCCTTAACTGCAAAGGTTTATTTAATAAGTATGGCAAAATGGCTCCCAAAATCAGGTGCAACTTTTTCAACAACTGCCTTGCTTAATGCTGGAAATTTGGGTCCCAATTCTGGTCATAAGTGTAGGACTATCTGTACTTCTGTAAAAACCCTAGAGGTTTCAAATAGCCATTGAAAGGTCAATCTTTGATGAATTTATCAAAGTGAACGTTATAAATTATAGACAGGACTAGAACTCACAATCTCTCAGTTTGTAGTGTGATGCCTTTAACCTCTGCATCAACCGGGATAACCTAAATCTAAATCCCTACTTTTCAATCAAAAAGGTAGAGGAAATACAGGGAGTATAGGAACTAATAAAATACATTAAAACCCTGATTTTACAATGAAGTATTTTTCATTAAAACCAAACATCCATTAAGTCGGAATATGTAACTATGTATTTTTTTTTAATAAAATTAGCACATTTTATATTTATGTTAGCATATAATTATATTGCCTCCTTATATAAAGTACTGTACATAAAATGCATGTAATACTTGCCCAGTGTTGTTTTAGTTAATCCCACTATCCGTGAACTAATTAAAATGTATTAAAATGTCCACCCAGCACTCAAAGCCAGCCTGATTGCTAACCTAGGAACTGCATTCATGTAATAAATTAAGCTTACCTACTTTAATGTTTGGTTAGGTTTGATTAAGGACCTACTTTGCTGAAATCCTAGCCACTTGATGAAGTTAGAATTCACTCTGTTGGGCAAATCCAGAAAAGGCTTTGTTCCTATAACCATCTCAGGTAACACTGGCCATTTGGAGGATCCCTGAGAGTTTTGCATCAATATTAGTTTCCATGGAATAATCACTTGGGAAATTGTATTGTCTGGCTGGAACACATGTCATCTGAGTATGGCCACTGCATGAAGTTAATTTGGAAAGCCATTTTGATGGCTTATTCCAAGGGTCTTCAAAGTTGGCAAGTTTAAGACTTGTGGACCTGAACTCCCAGAACTAACATGGAAGGAAGGAGGAGGAGGAGAAATCCTGGGAGTTGAATCCACAAGTCTTAAAGCTGTCAAGTTTGAAGACCCTTGGCTTTCTCTGAAACCATGGGATTGCAGGAGAACTCACCTGTATTGCATTGCATCATATATCCTACAAGATCCTTTCTGGCCACAGGGGTTACTGCTCCACTTCAAGCAAGTCTTGTCAATCACTGCACCAAAGTAAACTGGGGCTGGAATTCCAGCTAGAAGATATCAAACAGGAAATATATATTAGCTTGTCATTCTTCATTCTTCAGCATTCTTCCACCATTTTCCTGGATGGGTTGACAGCAGAAGTAGGGGAAGATGTGCCCATGTATGAATAGCAATAAGACTTCTATACTTATTCACAATGCTTTACAGCCCTCTCTAAGTGGTTTACAGAGTCAGCCTATTGTCCCCAACAATCTGGGTTCTCATTTTACCCACGGAAGGATGGAAGGCTGAGTCAAACTCGAGTTGGTGAAAATGGAACTGCCAATCTGCAGGCAGCTGGCAGTCAGCAGAAGTAGCCTGCAGTACTGCATTCTAAGAGGTCTGTAGGGGGCGTGCATAAGCGCACCAACCTGCCTACCGTCCCTGTCCTATTGTTTCTTTTTTTTTTTTCTTATATGTATCCATTTCATGTATCCATAACTATGTTTATACTTATACCTGTCATCTTATAATTGCTTGACAAAATAAATAAATACATAAATAAATTCTAACCACTGCACCACCATGGCTCTTAAGAAGAATACAGGTAGCATTCAACTTACAATCATTCGTTTAGTGACTATTCAAAGTTACAGTGGCAATGAAAAAAATGACTTATGACCCTTTTTCACTCCTACAACCACTGTAGCATCCCCAGGGTCATGTGATCAAAATTAGGATGCATGTCAGATGGGTTCATATTTATGATGGTTGAAATGTCCTGGGGTCATGTGACCATCTTTTTGTGACCTTCTGACAAGCAAACAGCACCAAACAGCGGTCTAAGCATAGTTCACAAAATCGTCTGCTATAACATCTTGCCTGTCAACGACTTCTTCAGCCTCAATCACAACAATACATGGGCAAACAGCAGACACAAACTCAAGGTAAACCGCTCCAAACTCGATTGCAGAAAATACGACTTCATCCATAGAGTGCTCAACATCTGGAATGCCCTATCTGACTCCGTTGTTACAACCTTGACCCCTCACAGCTTCAACCTCAAACTATCTACTGTGGACCTCACCCCATTCCTAAGAGGTCCTTAAAGGGGGCGTGCATAAGCGCATCAGCGGGCCTACTGTCCCTGCCTTACTGTTCCCATTTATCTGTATTCACTTCCTTCCTTCATGTTTGTTTGTACTTATACCTGCCATCTTGTCCATGTTTGACAAGCAAACAAACAAATAATTAAAATAAATAAATAAAATAAAGTCAATGGGGGAAGATTCATTTAACAACCATGTCACTAACTTAACAACTGCAGTGACTCACTTAACAACTATAGCAAGAAAGGTCATAAAATGGAGCAAATCTCATTTAACCAATGCCTCACTTAACAACAGAATTGTGGGGTTCCATTGTCATAACAAATGCCTCACTTAACAACAGAAACGTGGGGTTCCATTGTCATAAGTTGAGGGCTACCTGTATTTTCATGCCATCCTAGGGTTTTTTTCAGAGGCCTATGGTTAATGGCTGCAGTAGGTAGTGGATTGTAGTTGGCGGGAAACTGATGCCAATTAATTTGACTCAAAAATCTCATCCGTTATTTCTTATATGAACAGAGCATGCCTTTCTTTCATAATTATTTTCCCATACTCTGAACAATATCAGTATGTCAGAAAACCTCAAAGAAAGTGTCCAATAATATCCCATGTAACCAGAACGGCCTTTCTTACCCAATGATCTTATCACAAGCATCATGAGTCCAACTGCAAGTGACTTCAGGTCTTGAGGTACAGATCTAACAAAGGACAGATCAACCATACTAGTAATCGTGCTTCTGTAGGGTTTGCCCCCCAAAATCTATAAACGACATTCATGTTACGAATAGGTTTAACTGATGGAGAAGCACCCCTTATATCTTTGCTGTGCTTGGATTGGCACAATGCAATTCCACAAAGCAGCTGGTATAGTGGTAGGAATGAGGACATTTAGAATGTAATGTGCCTTGTGAATGTTGAAAAGTTCAGATTTGATTCCTGTCAGCTTCAGTGAAAATGATGAAATTATGAAATGGTCAGTTATCCACTTGTCTCGGGTTGTACCTGCCTGAGCAGGTGCTTGGATTAGAAAACCTCCAAGTTCCCTTCCAGCTCTATTTTGATTGATATGGTATCAGGATGTGCTCCCTATGTTCCTGGACAGGCATAGCCAATCAAAACCAATGATACTAGGCTCAGTGGACCAAAGAACCAATTACAGAAGGTGTTTCCCCCACGTATTTCAGTTTCCATACTATGGGCAATGTAGTGAATATTATTATGTGACTCCTCTCACTCCACACAATTAGAACTGGGAAGAGATACAGAGCAGATAGATTTTCACACAGAGACAAAATCTTAATTGTCTTAAACCAGGAGTGTCAAACTCAAGGCCCACAGGTCGGATGCTTAGATCTGGTCTGTGAGAGCCTCTGCCACTGAAAATGGAGCTCCATTTTCACTGGCAGAGGGCTGCAGGAGGCCGTCATGGGTGAAATGGGGCTATCAAAACAAACTAAAAAACAAAACAAAAGGAGAAATGTTTCCCCTTTTGCCTTTGAGCATTCGAGAAGGGGACAGGAAAGGAGAAAGGGAAAGAGGAAAGAGAAAGAAAAAGAAGGAAAGGTGGGAAGAGAGCAAGGAAGGAAAAAGAAGGAAAGGGGAAGGAAGAAGAAAGGAGAAGGAAGAAGGAAAGGAAAAGCAAAGGAAAAGGGAGGGAGGCAATTATAATGTGAGGGGAGAGAGGGTTTCAGGGAAGTCCTGCCTTAGCACTTGGCCACCACAGGTGGCCCTGACATGAGTGAGGTCGAGCTGGCCACCATCACCACGCCCCCTGGCCATTTCCCCCGGCCCTCCAAGGTCAAATACAACTCTAATGCGGCCCTCAATGAAATCGAGTTTGACACCCCTGTCTTAAACAGTTTCTAATTTCTCATCTCCCCTTGTAGTGAAAGCAAAAGTGGATAAAATTCTATTCATATTCAGGCATAGTGAAGCTGTGGACATTCAGATACTGCTGAACTAGCAGCCTCAATCAGCAGGAATGAAAAATTATGCATGATGGAAGTTGTAGTCCCATAGGTCAACATTAAGATTTCTCCATACTGCATAAATATATCCTTTACAGGGTTTTATGGGGGGGGGGAGGGGAGGAAATTAGACAGACACAAGGAGGGATTGTTTTAAGAAATATTCACTTCTTTGTCTTTTGTAAAAAAGGTACCACAAAAATGGTTGACACATAGTGCAACATTTTTATCTCTTCACTAAAAGGCAGAAACTACAATTTAATTGTTTCGAATGCTGTCGTTGAAAAAGCCTAAGGAACAGTTGGAATGCTTAAATATTTATAGGTTTCTAGGATACATTTATTTTCATGGAGGTTTACATTTCTGACTCTTATTTTTTTTTAAAAAGTCTGAGTGGAATCTTAAGTAGCTATGCTGTCTTATTGGCTCTTTATTTAACTCATGGTCCTTTTATGACTTGTGGACTTCCGCTCCCAGAATTCCTGGGAGCTTGGCTGGCTCAGGAATTCTGGGAGTTGAAGTCCACAAGTCATAAAAGGGCCATAGTTCTCCACCCCTGACTTAACCCATTCCTTACCTGATAAGGAGCATGTATATAGGAACACCACTCAGTGAGTACATAAAGGAGCTCACAGCTTTGACAATGATGTAAAAAATAAAAATTTTTGAACACTCATCACTTCTTCGGCATTCACCCAACACCGCTGAAGAATTCTTCAATGCAGCATCAGCTTGCTCAATGCAACTACAGTTGTGAAAAACCTATAGGGAAAAGCATATGGGACAATAAAGGGCATCTTGCGCCCCATCACTTCAGTTACGAAATGGAAACATCTGATGAATGCATCTCTATAATGGTCTAGATCAGGGGTGTCAAACTCAAGGCCCAGGGGCTGGATCCAGCCCATGGGGGTGCTTAGATCTGGCCTACAGGCTGCCCTGGAAACAGTGAAGGACCAGCCCATGGTGCCTCTGCCAGTGAAAACAGAGCTTGGGAGGGCCGCATACAGCTCTCCCAAGCTCCGTTTTTGGCTGCAATAGTCTCCTGAAGTGCTCTGCCAGAGAAAACGGAGCTCAGGAGGGCCATGCATGGCCCTCCTGAGCTCTATTTTCATCAGCAGAGTGCTGGAGGAGGCTGTCACTGCTAAAAACGGAGCTTGGGAGGGGAGCCCCCCAACATGAGTGATATTGAGGTGACTATGCCCCCCCCCACTGAGATCAAACACAATCCTGATGCGGCCCTCAATGAAACCGAGTTTGACACCTCTGGTTTAGATCTAATGGCACCGACTTTCAGGACTTTAGCTTCTACTAACTACAAGGCAGAAACTAGATGTGATATTATTGTAACCAGGGGTGGGTTTCTACCGATTCTGTCCACCTCTGTAGAACTGGTAGCTCTGAAGAGCAGCAGACATAGAACTGGTTCTATGTCTGCTGATGTTTTTGCCCACCCGCCTGCCCGGGCTCTTACCTGACCTTTATTTCCTGCTTTTTCAACTTCAGCTGCCGTGTGTGGCACAGCTGTAGTTAAAAAAGCAGGAAAAAAGTACTTTTTCAAAGGCTGCTTCTCGGCACACAGCGCTGCTCAGCTGTCCAGGCACCAGGCTGATGACAATTTACAGGCGCGTGAGCAGCCATGCAGGGAAGCACATCGTAAATCACCAAACGTCGTAAATCACCGAACCGGTAGTTAACCCTGTCGAACCCACCCCTGATTGTAACACTGCCTAAATGGAGACACCCTTGAAGAGAATTTCAAAGATACAGTTACTTCAGCTGCACAGACAGATTTGGAGGCACCTAGGGTGTCACATGTAAGGCCAGAGCTGCATCGGTTGTCAATTTGCTTCAGGTTCCAATCCAAGGTGTTTGTGATCACCTTTAAATCCTTCCATGGCTTGGGACCAGATTCTCTGAGGGCCCACCTCACTTCAGTGGGATTGACTTGCCTCACTTGGGCCTTTTTCAAAAATGGTCTGCCAAAGATTTTTGGCTAGTGGGTTCAAGGAGAACAGCCCAATCTTTGGAACCCCTTGCCTCCAGAGGGGGAGATCCAGCTTCATCCTTTGGCCTTTCTGGAAGAGCTTTAAAATCTGGCTATGGTGGTTGGATCTGGGGCCTGGGGCCTTGATTGGGGTTCCCAGTGCTGGAGATGGTTGATTGAAAAATCCTGGAGCTATAAGTAAACTGGGAAATTGAAATAAACACAGGGGTGCGATTCAACCAGTGTAACAATTGGTTCGTTGTGCAGAGCGTTTGCTACTGACCTTCTCCAGCAATCCCTGTGTGTTAAACAGCTGATGCGCAGCAATCCACTGTGCCGCATGAATCAGCTGAGCTTGAAAAACAAGATATAAAGCACAGCCTAGAGCCCGGGTGAGCAGTTGGGCCCAACAGCTGATCGTTGGAGCAAACCGAACTGGTTGTCTTCCAGTTGATCCTCAGAACTACCAGCTTGGCCGAACCTGGCTGAACTGATAAAATCCCACCCCTGAATAAACATCCCAGAAAAACTGGAAAGCATTTCCAAATCTGCACTTCTATAACTGTCTGGTTTGGTTCTGCAAGCCAACAGGACAGACACAGACTTTAAAGGATAATTAGGACTGCAGAAAAAACAATTACTGCCAACCTGCCTTCCATCGAGGACCTGTATACTGCACGAGTCAAAAAGAGGGCTGTAAAAATATCTACAGACTCCTCACATCCCAGACATAAACTGTTTCACCTCCTTCCCTCAAAATGATGTTACAGAGCACTGCACATCAGAACAAATAGACACAAGAACAGTTTTTTCCCAAAAGCCATCATTCTGCTAAACAAATAATTCCCTCAATACTGTTCAACTATTAAAAAGTCTGCACTACTATTACTATTAATCTCCTCATCACTCCTTATCACCCATCCCCTTCCACTTGTGACTGTATGATTGTAACTTTGTCGCTTGTATCCTTACGATTTATATTGATTGTTTCCTAATATGATTTGATTACTTATTGTACCCTTTGACTATCATTAAGTGTTGTACCTTATTATTCTTGACAAATATATCTTTTCTTTTATGTATACTGAGAGTATTTGCACCAAGACAAATTCCTTGTGTGTCCAACCACACTTGGCCAATAAAGAATTCTATTCTATTCTATTCTATTCTATTCTATTCTATTCTATTCTATTCTATTCTATTCTAAATTTATTAAATTTCTAATACGTCACACTCTTGGTGCTCTTTATAGGAGTTGACATGATGACATCTTTACTTTGATTATGAGTGTTTGAAGGATCCTGATATCTATGGTTGTTCACTGCAGTAGAAATGCATTTATTTATTTGTATCCCGCTTTTATTATTTTTACAAATAACTCAAGGCTTTGAAACATATCCAACACACCTTCCTCCTCTTGTTTTCCTCACAACAACAATCCTGTGAGGTGGGTTGATCTAAGAGAGAGGGACTGGCCCAAGATCACCCAGGTCACCCAGATCACCCATGGCTAAGGCTGAACTTGAACTCATAGTCTCCTGCTTTCTAGCCTGGTGCCTTCACCGCTAGACCAAACTGGCCCAAACCTTGCAGTATGAATTTAAAAATTAAGCCTTAGACTTCATGTATCTTGTTTAAAAGAAAAAGTGAGGAAGCCAAAATCCTCTCTTGTGGGTTTTTTGTACCTCTCATTTCTTTGCTTCCAGACCAAAGGCATACATGGAAAAAGTCAAACTCTCATCCTTACTATTTTTTTCTTCAATCTGGTTATGTTTTTGCAACCAGCAAAACAGGCTGACACATATGTGAGTCCGTTCTCCCCACAAACAGGATCCCACTGGCTTGTAGCACAGGTGCAGTTGGAATTGCAGGCTGAAGATAAGGAAAGCGGGTTCTGAGCAGCTGTGTTCCTTTAAAAAAAAGAAGGGGGGGGGAATTGCACACTTAAAAGTTCTCACGGAATTTCAATATGAAGCATCCAAAATGGATCAAGATATTCTGTCTGTCTGTCTGTCTGTCTGTATCTATCTATCTATCTATCTATCTATCTATCTATCTATCTATCTATCTATCTATCTATC